GTCAGACCTCTCCTGTGTTGCCACTGGCTACCCTCAGCAGTGTACTTCAATGGATCTACCTGCTCTGCTCTTTACTTGGTCTCTGGTGAATATTTTCACCCTTCCACCTCCACAGCTCTGACCAACAACCCAGTTCTTCTATGAAAAAAAAAAAAAGTATAACAATGTACCAGCTTGCATTAATGCTGGGGAAGGCAGTAGTGCAGAAAAGGAAATTAACAGATCTATTGCATCCTTTTATGCTGCCTAGACAAAGGCTACATGGAAAATAAAGGGGCAAGTAATGCATACAAATAATTCTTCAAATTAGCCATGAATGTTCATTTTCTGTTTTCATTAGGAGCTATTAATAAAGAATTCATGCTGCCAATTGTTATATTTTTGTGTAGTAACTATACATTTTCTGTAGTGACGTTACCCAGGTCTGGGACAAAATTTGAATACATTGAGCAAGGTGGGCATTTTCATCTTCTTAACCACCTCCAACGAAGATAGTGTTTTCTTCATTTTGGATGCTTCGGTTGTTGCCATAGCTTGACTCTTGCAAATAGAGCTGCAATGAACATAGGAGTACATCCCTTCTAATTAGTGTTTTTGCTGGATTGTATGGAAAATCTATTTTAAATATTATGAAAAACCTCCCAACTGTTTTCCATAGAGGCTGGGCTAGTCTACAGTCCCACCAGCAACATACAAAGGTTCATTTTTCTTCACACCTGCACCAGCACTTAACTCTGGTCTTTTTGAAATGGCCATACTTACAGGTGCATCTTTATCCAGTCCGTCTAAAGTTAAACTTAGGTCATTCATCTGTAAATGCTTTGACAATAATCTGCTGAATGTTGTAAAAAAAAAAATTGTTAATAGTGTCAGAAAGTACTTTTAAAACTAACACCAAAATAAGTTTTATGTTAAAAACCAAAAATAACAAAAGTTTACTATAAGGAAAACCAAAAAACACAAACAATAATTTCCCCCATAGTTATTCTTTTTTTTTTTTTTTTTTTTTAAGATTTATTTACACATACAGGCCAGAGATGCAGGGGCAGTGAGAGGATTCACCAGAGACAACATGGGGAGCAGAAAAGGCAGATGTACTGAAATACACTGCTGAGGGGAGCAGCGGGCGGGTCAGGAGAGGTCTGCTGTGCCACGTGGATCACTTCTGGAATGAGGATTGAACTCGAACTGAAGGGCTGTGGCCAGCTTGCAGTGCTGCGCTTTAATCCACTATGCCACCAGGGAGGACCCATAATTATTTTTATCATTTGATACATGCCCTCCTAGATTCTTGAGGCAAATATATTTTTCCCTTTATAAATATATTATCACATTAGATTGTTTCTAAAATAAGTTTACTATTTAATGACTTGAATATATTTTCATGTTAATAAATAATACAAGTGCATTTACAACTCTTTTATTTCAGATTGTTTCCGTAAGTCCTGCCAATATCTGACTTTATTTTTAAATTAACATTATTTTTATCAACTGTTAAGTACGTCATGCCATAAATGTGCTATAATTTAATAGATACTCCTGGACAGTTGTTTGCAACTTTTACTGTTACAAAAAAGGACACATCTTTGAGACTAAATCTCTATGTCCTCTACATCGAGATGCAAAAGTAGACATTTTCTCCCTTCCCATACTAGCCAAACTTGATTATTTTTTTTACAGATTTATTTGTTTATGCATACAAGAACTGGGGTGTAGGCCAGAGGTACAGAAGGCCAGAGGATTCACCAGAGACAGAGTGGGAGCAAAACAGGCAGATGGACTGAAATACAGTGCTAAGGGGAGCAGCGGGCTGGTCAAGAGAGGTCTGCAAGCCATGTGGGTCAGCTCCCTGGCCGGGGGGGGGGGGGAGGGGGTCAAACTCATGTTGCAGTGGCTGCAGATAGTTTCCTAGTGCTGTGCTTTAACCCCCTGTGCCACACTTGATCTTTTAAACATAGTAAATATGTTTTGTCTAATGACCATTTCTCTAATGTACTTTCGTTTATGCTTTTTTTGGTAGAGCTTGCATGCCATTGTTTGCAAACGGTATGCATTTAAAACTGGGGTTTTTAGCTCTGTCATTGGATTGAAAAGTTAACTATAGCCATCCTTTTAATAGCATCCAAAGGGTGAGCACCTTCCTCTAAGTGTTTAGCTCTTTGTTATAGTTTATAATTTTCATCTTCACTTTTGTGATTTTTATCTATAGTTTCCTAGAAAGTCATTTTCTACTCAAGATTTTAATATATTCACCAAAATATATTGTATTTTTGAAAGTTATCCATCACATTAAATAAAACTGGCCTCCTCTGGTGGTGCAACAGGTTAAAGTGCAGCACTGTAAAGCCATCAGCAGCTGCTTCTGCATGAGTTCGATTCCGGGCCAAGAAGGGGACCCACATGGCACAGCAGACCTCTCCTGACCTGCTTACTGCTCTCCTCAGCAGTGTATTTTACTCCATCTGTCTGTTCTGCTCCCCACCATATCTCTGGTGAAACCTCTCACCATCACCCCCACCTCTGGCCTGTACCCCAATTCTTATATGCATAAGTAAATCTTAAAAAAAAAATCACACATATTAAGTATTATTCTTAGTACTTATTTTATGTTAAGGCATAAAATGTAGGAATCTACTTTTTTTCCTAAGGAGCTACTAGTTTTACTAGTTTTGTATATCAAAATTACATCCCTTCCAACTCTGGCCTCTACCCCAGTTCTTTAAAAAAAAATCTTTTTTTTTTTAAAAAAAAAACAGTCACTCAATTCATTAAATACATAAATATATGCCATTGAAGATGCAGTAGTTCACAAAATGCGCAAACATTTTTTCATGATGTTTGCATTTTTGTGAAGACCATAAGTAAAATAAATAAATATAGTAAGTTATAGGGTGATAACCACAATAAAAATTGCTGAAACAGTGCAAGGACAATGGAGAGAGTGCAATTTTGATATGGGGCTGTGAACTTTTACACTCAAGTTTCGTTTATATGCTGTCATTCTGATCCATTAGGCTTTATTTTCTACAATCTTACTTTGCTTTTTGTATTAAACTCTTCCTTGACATTTTCTTTTTAAAATTTTCTGTATTTTTCAAATGGGATTGTTTTGGATTTGTATATCCAAAATATAAAAATATTTTGAACCTCAATAATACCATGAGGTTGTAGAAAGAGCTCCAAGGATAAACTAATTTTGAAGTGGCAAAATTTTTTTTGTCTAATTTGCCATGAATTGATATTTTATTCCTTTTATTTTTTACTAACATGAAATTTACAAACCTGCTTTTAGAAAACAAAATTATGCCTTTATTTCTTTTTCAATACCCATATTGAGACTGAACTTGGACCACAAAGATAAGAAATGAAAGATGCCTTTATTTCTACCTAAAAACATTAAATCTTAAATTGTGTGAGAAAACCTGCAAATTTAAATCCATAGTATTATGAATTTTGTGTTATTATTTGTTTATAGAATCATTTTTGCATTTCCACATGCCACATTTACAACTATTTAAATTCCTGAATTTTGATGATTTCATTTCTTAACACCCTTTTTCTTAACATCCTGCCTTCATTTTGTTTCATGGCTCAGTTGAGCACTTCAGTATAAATTATTTTTCAGAAAGACACGTGACTGCTATGCTTTTGAGTTTTTGTATGTCAGAGAGGGCCTGTCTGTTCCTTCCATATTTGAACCATACCCCTCTTGGATGTAGTTACCAAGTCACATTCCTTTCCCTGCAAGTTTCTGCACATGCTGTTTGAAGCTGCATTTGTACAGCATACACTTTAAACAAAACAAAAAAGTTAAATTGTATATTTACCTGGAGAAGTTTTGGTAGGGACCATGAGAGATAGTAAGGGCAAAATTTGCTTCAAGCCATGTCCCCATAATTCTTACAGGTATCATACTGTATGTTGACTTTGTTAGACAAATTCAGATTTATTATAGCATTTCTTGGTTTCCAAGGCCCATTAGTCTGTGTCGTGTCAGAAAAGATTTGTATGAAGAGAATGACAACCTCAGGGGAGGATTCACCTTAGTCAGTCAGTTCTTCACATCATCCTCAGCCTGTGTAGAGGTGATGGGTACAGGTGAAAAAAGGAGGAAGTTAGAGGAATCAAGGCGCTCACCTCAAGTTAGCCGACCAGTGTTTTCCGTCAGCACATTGGGGCAGTTCCCTACTTGTTTGGCATCTAGTTTTTCTATTTTCCAGTGGTGGGCACAGAATAAGAGCACAGCCTTGAGATCAGTCTCGAGAAATTTGAGTTCCTGTTGAAAGCTTCACCATTGCAAGAAATTGTTCCCTGACAGCTACCTTGTCTCAAGCAATAGAGTCCAACAGTCTTACTCCTTCTCCTATTAACAAAAATTTCTATGGCGTTTCTCCTTTGAAATACTTCTTACTAAAATTCCTTCTCTCCAAAATGTACCTATAACCCTAAATGTGACTCTTTTTAATGTTTTGAGAATCATAGTCAGGGGGTGTCTTGTTTCAACAAAGGTATATTACAGGGCAAGTGTGTCCTTCTCTCCCTACCTATCCATGAAGTTCATTATTTTACGTTGTGGAAACATACAGTCAAGTTTCATGAACTTGCCCAAGATCCCGCAGCTCATTAATGAGAGAGCAGGAACATGGCGCCTTCTGCCACCCCTCTGTCTCGGTGCTGTGCTGCTCTGCCTGATCTCAGATTTAATATTACCAAAAAGTCAGCAGTGGGGCTGTGTGAGCAAGGTTACTACACCTTCAAAGTTTACTGTTTTGCTTATAGATAATCAACATATGAAGCCAAAAAAAGCCATGAAGCAGAAAGTGGAAACATTTACAGTGATTAATGAAAAGAACTTTGTTATTCAACTTGTAAAGAATTTTCTGTTAAAATTCTACTTACAAAAGCCTTTGTTTATTGGCTAAATTAATATTACATGTTAGAAGAAATCGGTGATAAATTAGACTGAAATTTTATTTTTACTTTTTTACAGTGGCAACATAATTCAAAAAATTATTCGCTCAATTGTAACATCCTTCCCATTCAGGTATGTGACATCTTAGGAAGGGAGGTAATTAAATATAATAGTCAATATTATTAATTAGAAAAGATTTGGAAAGGAAAAGAAAACATTTTCATTGTCAATATGTTGCAGTAACTCCTGTATACCCATTTGATGTGAACTAATTGGATTTTTTTTCTCAAATTTTGTTAATATGCCATTAATTTACATAACTATGTAGTTTGGAAGATCCATTTTCACACCTCTGAAGGTGTATTTGCTTTATTCACCCTTCACCGAACTCTTGTGTATCTTAGAATTTTAAACAGAACAATAAGTCTTTAAAAAAATGGTATTTTTCTAAGTCTAATAGTAACATAGTAACATTTTTATACCTGTAAAAATAAAAATAATGAGCATACAGCTCAAAATTCTATAAGTAAGGTGTTATATTAAACCCCTTATTCATCTAAGATATGTCCTCTATTCTGGTGACACTCTGCTTTGGCTTTTCTTTATATCATAGTAAGATTGCATATTCTGATACAGATTCACAAAAAATTATTTCCTTTTAAATTTGAAATATTTTAACTTGTATTGCATCTAAAAATGCATTCTGTAGATGAATGTACTCATCTTTATATTATACAAATAGTATAATTTATGGAGAGTATGTTTATAATATACAAGAGAAAGATTGAGGTAGTTACTTTTGAGTTCAAGGTGTAGGTAATTATGAAATATAATGTCTTCTAATGTGTCCAGCACTGTGTTAAAAGCATCCATTAATAATTAGTGTAATCTTAGGCTTGTTGAAAATAGCACTGATAAAAAAATCTTACTGGTCAAAGTGGTCTTTTAAAGGCTTTTATTAGTTTTACTTTCACTTGGTTTTTACTACTAAATTCTTAAAAAATATTAAGCTTGAGGTCATATTTATTATAAGAAATTGGTGGGAATCCTTATAAAATTTGCAAATTTTAAGAACAGTTTACAAGCAGAGACATGTAATTTTAATTCAGTTTATCTGTTCTATCTTGGCATATTAGTCTGATGTACCCACTGTAAAAGGGCATGATGACACAATGTCATTTGGTGGGAATTTAAAAAAAAAATTTTTTTTTATTAAGGTCACATTGATTTGCAACACTGGATGATTCAGAGATTCAAGTTCATACCTGTTCACACCATAGACACCCACGGTCTTCCAACATATGCCATTCGGTCCCTCTCCCCATTACTTCCCACCACTGGTGGTAGTCTCAATTCTATAGTCAGATTTCTAGGGTTTGTTTGGTTTATTTTTGCCCTCTTTGTTTGTTTTTCTATATCCTGCACTATAAGTGAAACTATCACTTTGTCTTTGTCTTTTTCTCCTTCTGATTTATTTCACTTCACGTATTCTCTCCAGTTGCATCCATGTACGGAATTTTATTTCCTTCACAACTGGTGCTATTGAGTCAAGACTGAATTTTTTTTTTTTTGAGTTTTTTTTTTTTTTGAGATTTTAAGGTAATACAGTTTTCCCTACTACTAGACAACTTAATCCTAAATAACAACACTTTAGTATCAGATCATTGGCCTACCTGTAGTCTAACCATAAGGGTGAAAAACAGTTATTTTTATTTTATTTATTTGTTGTAGAATATTTGGAATTTTGCTGATCTTTATGGATATGTCCCTCATCGTTACAGACCTTGTCGTTGATAACTCAATATTCAGTCATTTGGAATATCGTTTAATTTCTTTAGCTATTGCTTTATTTTTCCTCATGGATGTTGTTCTTCGAGTATTTGTAGAAGGGTAAGTTTGATTATTTTTTTTAAAGATTTATTTATTTATGCATACAGAACTGGGGTACAGGCCAGAGGTGTAGGGGCAGTGAGAGGCTTCACCAGACACAGAGTGGGGAGCAGAACAGGCCCACTGACAAAGTACCACTGCTGAGGGGAGCAGCAGGCATATCAGGAGAGGTCTGCCACGCCATGTGGTCACCACCAGGGTAGGGATCGAACTCATGCTGAAGTGGCTTTAGTTTTTTAGTGTTGTGCTTTAGCCTGCTGCGCCACCAGGGAGGTCCAATTCTTTTAAAACACATAAAGCTATTATGTTCTATTGTGAGAAACATCTCAAAATAATTACCGGGTCACCCCAAACAAATGTCACGTTTTTTTTCAAAATAACTCTCCTTGAAGGTCTGGACTACAAGAGAAATAGTGGTCAAAAATCCCAATTTCTACTAGATTGGGCATTAATATTGCTGTTGCAACTTGCAATCTAGTCTCTGCAAATGCATTCAAGATGGTTCTCCATCAAGAGGAGGTAGAGCTTAAAAGGTTTGTAAAATGGGGCCAGGTAGCTTATGTGTCCACATGCACATTAAGAGAGACATTTATGTAAAATATAAATATTCAAACCTTCATGTAAGAGTTGAATCTAAATAAAAGTTGACAGTAGACCAAATACTAGATAGTAACTCTGAATGGCTTTCTACCTCAATTAATATAAAAAGGTACAGGAGATATAAGGCTTGTTTATTCTGCCAGTGAGTCTTGATAGTGAGGTAGCAACTGCTCTCTGCTTTTTGGCTTTCTCAGAAGGAGGATGGAGTGAGCCAAGCTTTAGAGCTAGACTGCTCAAGGATTAAATTCCCCAGCCTCAATTCACTTCAAAAGGCAACTTGTTTCCTCTCCTGATGAACTCTCCTTGAAGGCCTGGTCTACAAGGGAAATAGTAGTCCTTATGCTTTTGAACTAAGGGCAGTGCCCCCCTCCTAAATTATTAAGAGCTTGAAAGTGACTACCCTGGAATGGAAAGAAACCTTTCCCAGAGCATCGGTGCCCATGACTGATGGAGCCAGTGGTAGGGAGGAAGATGCAGTGGATGGAAATGTAGCCCAGGGATGGCCACATCAGCCCTTGGGGGTTCCAGTGGGTGTGCAAAACCAGAGAAGGAGTTTGCAAACCAAACAGAGGAGCCCCTCCATGTGCAGGCTCCCCTTGCAAGCTCTCTGGCTATGATACTCTCTGTTTTCCGGGCATACTGCCAAACTTCCCACCCTTCTCTCCCACTTGCATGGAGGCAGTGCTTCCTGCTTGTCCAACGGTTTGGCTGGGTTTATTACTATCCCTACATGGCCATGGTGATGGCTTTTGTCATGTTTTGTTAAAACAGCGAATATGAATATTGTCCCCTTAGTCTAGTCTAGTTAATACATTTTAAACAACTTAAGTACAACTCTTAATGGGAATGAGTAGGATGATTTGTGCTCTTAAAATATTCCTTTCTCTTCTTTGAGAGGACATAAGCTTATTTTTTTGTTTGTTTTATATTACAGGATGAAACCTTATTTTTCTGATATACTTAACTCCTTAGATGCTGTCATTGTTGTGGTGACTCTATTGGTTAATGTTGTTTATATGTTCTATGACTATAGGTTTCTTACTGGTATCTCCAGGTAAGAATCATGTGAATTACATCTCTTAAAATTGTCTTTTTTTTTTTTTTTGTGCATATCCTGTGGCTTTCATTTTGTTTAGTCTTTATAGCTCTGAATGTGCTGATTCTGTGCCATTTAAATTGCTTGTAAATGAAATATTCTGGATAACTTTCTATATACTTGGAAACTAAAGGATGGTAGTATTGGATGAGGCTAATGAAGGGTACATATACAAAGATCCTTTAATTCAGTTAAGATAGAACATTTGAAAAAGAAATTGAGGATTTTGCCTTTTGTACTAACTTTACTACATTTTGAAATTCCCACTTGAGCTTCAACCAAAATTTCCTTGTAGATGAAATCCTGGTTTTCTCCTATAACCAAGAATGCCTTGGTTTGAGCAAAGCAAAATTTCGTGACTGCAGTGATGGCCTTCAAAAAAGCCAAAGGGACAGAAAATTGGGTGAGCTGAAGAGCAAAGCAGAAGCAGCATTTTGAAATGTTGTTAGTTGAAATGAAGAATGTTGAGGCAAACGTGGAACTGTTAGGGACCAGGAAACTGAAACTGTGGTGTTGTTTTTTTTTTTCCTGTGGTGGCAATGAGGAAAAGAAGAGCAGAAACACTAGAATGTAGATATTGAGTGACTCACCAGGTTTATTCATTAATCAAATAGCTTGCTTCTTTCTGCACTCTAGCTTCCCAGGACTGCAGTTCAGGTGCCAATGAAACTTTCAGAATTTGTAAATAATCAGAACCTGTATGGTCCTCCAACCAGCAACCTCTTCATCACTTAAAAGCTTGCTAGATGAACAACAAATGTTGGTGAGGG